GAGTACCCGAGGGAAAACCTGCGGCCAGTATCTGGCGACTGCTCCACGTAGGCCTCGAACCCGCGACCCAGTGCTGGAGGGCTGGTGATCATAGACGGTCAGACACCTTAACCACTCGGCCATCGTGGTCACTTAAAAGTTTACCAAGAATATCAGTTCGACAAAGAAATAATAGTAAAACAAATGTAGGTATCATAGTAGACATGAGGGTACAAAACATCTATGAACAGCTCCCAGTTGCTGTTCTCTGCTGGTCGGCAAGTTAGAAAAAATATACCTGCTGGTACCCACTACATAATTTGAAGGAGGCGGAATGTGGGATTCGCGCGTTTGTACCTTCCACTTGGGGCCACAAAAGCGACACACAGTTATTCTAAATGGCACCCATTGCAACATTGAAATATCTATATGTTCTCTGCCTACTTACCACTTGTTCGTTTCCTTACGCCTCCTTTGTGGCAATACCTTGCTTTTGGAATTGGCGATGGAAAAGGGATTCTTTGCACCTGACCGAAACAAGCCGAGGTCCTAAAGGTTAAGGCACCACTGCATCAATCAAGTTCGCGAAGAAGAGTTCCATTAAGAGTACTCTCCCTTCTATATAAAGGATAAATAACCAAAAAGAGTTTTATTAGCTTAGAGTAACTTCCCATGTTAAAGCTTTCCGTGCGCTTCGCGGCCCTTAAATTGGACAATTAATTTGGTGTATAGTTTGTATATCCTGTATGGTACTATTGATTAAGTGTAGGCTTAGCCATTTAAAGTCATAAGTTCGACCCTTACATTTTTTTTTTAATCTTTTTTTTTATTATTTCTATTTTCAAACATGTAGAATTTATAGCAACATCCAATTGTTTGAAATATTTCATTTGAAAATGACTTAAACAAACATTTCACGCTAGTTACTATAGTAATAATACCGTTAAACTTAATAGTACCATTTACCTTCAAATTAGTACTTCTGCCCTCTGCTTGAGTTCAGCATTAAATTTGAGTACCTATAAAGAGTGATTAGCTCGTTGTCAGTATAATATGATAGGGTGGAGGCTTTCGGCATGCGTTTTAGTGAGGTACATGTAGCACTCTAAAGCATATGCATCAGATCGACGCTATTGCAAGGCGGCAATAACACCATCATACCATTTACATCCTCGATTTGTCGCATAGACGTGTCACCTTCCCTTTGATCTAGCTATGGTATCACCAAATAATTTAACACAGTTTTACTCATACAATATGGTATAAGTGAAGCTCCTCCCCTCTATCGTGTACAATATATATATCCATTCTGTTTGGTCTGCCAATGAAAAGCTAACGTGTCCAATTAGTGAATCTCATTGAAACTGTCAAGAGGAAATGACATCGCGGGTATGCAAAAATTAAACAAACAGAATTTCCCTTTACACAGTTTGCGAACGAACCTTTTGTTTTCATTTTGTAACATGTAACACAGAATAAGGTTATTTAATGTCCGTGTTGTGATGGAAAGACACGTGACAATTGAACCTTGGCCTTTTTTTTCTGCAGGAATGTTAATGTTTACAAGTGAAGTCAAGTCAATTTTGTTTATTATTTAAACAATAACTGGTTGTCTGGATGTAATTATTGTTGATATAATTACAAGTGGCCTTTAGCAAATCCCATAAAACCCGTAAAACCCGCTAGGTTTTATGGTAGATTTGCCAGAGGCCACTTGTAATTATATCAACAATAATTACATCCTGACAACCAGGTATTTTTTATATTTACATATTTTTCTTTTTTAAGACATATTCCTACATTTCAGAAAGCCATTTTGTTTGTTTACATATTCCTACACCTGAAACAGGCAGTTGTTATTATAGTCGAGCAGTTGTAATTATAGCCTATATAATTACACTTGCCCTCTAACACTGTTGTAATGGGACGGCGCGGGGGCAAATGTAAATATAGTGTCATATATGTACACGTATATAGTTACACAGTATAAAAACATATAGTTACATAACAGGGATCAATCATCTTAATGTAAAAATATATAGACCATATCATAATTTTGTTAAGAACAGCTATTATACATAATAAATTAAAACAAACTATCACATGTGCCAATCCAGAGAGCAGGTGATTGGGACAGCCCCTACCTAACAAACTCCTGGATTTTGTCCTTACTTATTAAATACCATCATAACATTTGTAGGTTTAATATCAGAACTTTTATATAACGACCTCGATATTTTACCATTTTCTTTCGGGTTCTGTGATTTTTATATCTTTTTTTTCCAACAGGGTCTGGAAAACGTTTGATAATGGCAGAGCCATATATATGATATACTGTACATCGCTGATAACAGGCATTTCCTGCTCTTCATCTTTCACCGCCGATAATAAGAAATGCCAAACATTCCAACATTCCAAAATCGGCTGTTCCATCAAGTCTTCTAAAACATTTTCAGTGATACTCTCTGGGTCACTTTCGATTCGAGTCATCAACTTTGACAATCATCCAGGTCGTCAGATGCATCTTGCGCAAAACTGGCCTTGGGTTTGGGACGCAGTCCGGCATTTTGTGATGTTAGAGAGGAAATGACAGACTCATTTATGCGACAAGTCAGTTACATCATAGGCTGGCAATATGTCAGTTATTGTACTCAAGGGGCGGGGCTTACATCTCTCGCGCTACGCGTACAATAACGGACATATTGCTCGGTTCCTATGGTACAATACATACAGGGGTTACGCTCACTTTCGCTCTCTGCCCCCTGGAATATGTCATAGAAAAATTGAAGGCACAAAGGTAGCTGTCTGATTTGTCTCAGGTAAAAAAAACAACTGACCAATCGCCAGGCTGATAGCTGTCCTTTGTCCTTTGAAGATTACAGAGAAGCGACATCCGACTTCAAAACCAGTCAATTATTACCGTTACGCGACCGCGAGATTCTTTTGATGTACATCAAAGAATCAAACTAGCCTTCTTGTCTCATCAACAAATACGAACACTGAGCCTTCAATTTTGCTATGACATATTCCAGGGGTGCAGAGAGCGTAAGTGGGCGTAACCTTTGAGTAGCGAGGATGACCGTTCTAGTACACACACCAGGAAGTACGTCCTGATTTGACATTGCTCTAGCAGTCACAAAGGAAGGCAATCCCATTCACCGGGACATACCACTCAAATTCACTTAAAAATAAATACAAGTGTTTAGGACTTAGATAACGGGCGCAGTGAGGGTTAACGTTACTTCAATTTAACATGTAACTATACACAAAATAGAGATATTTTGACAGTTATCAAACTTTTACTATAAAATCTTTTGAACAACAAGGAACAATGGCGGGGAGTGATGTGACCTCTAATAACTCAGTTCACGGGAAACGTCGGAAAAAAGTCTTCTCCTCAAGGGATTGTTTTAGATCAATCGACGATTTCCCTTCTCGATACAAATAAACATAGCCTGTTTCATTGCGACACCAGATTTAGCTGGAATACATTGTGTCCGAGATTCAAGTTTCCGGAACAAAAGTCACGTGATTTGGCATCAAGGGGACATGTATATGTAACTTCCAGTATGAAGGTAAATAAGTCATAAGCTAACTTCATCGCTGGGACAATTTGTATTTTATTTAAACGACTGAGACTTCACATCTTTCATTAAAGGGATATCTACCGACTAGTACCCGTTCGTCTGATATGCAGTCAGAACCGCACACCAGTGTTTCTGCATATTGTTTTAACTGCTGTCAGATTATCACTGATAACCGGAAGTACATATCCCCCCTATCACGTGACATGTATATCAAAACCCCAATATTTTTTTAAAACATCATAGTGTGATGAGTATATGAGTTAAAAGTAAAAGATACTTAAAAATAAGTAACCTTGACCTTAAAATACTGCTAGAAGCGCTTTTAATTCTGCTTTTTATGAAGAAATTACATTAAGGGATTTTTTTTGTTTCTGATTTTCTAAATTCTGTATATAGTGTGTATGATGTATGGTGTATATGTTGTATGATGTGTATGATGTATGGTGTGTATGATGTATGGTGTGTATGATGTGTATGTTGTATGATGTGTATGATGTATGTTGTATGGTGTGTATGATGTATGGTGTGTATGATGTATGATGTGTATGTTGTATGATGTGTATGATGTATGGTGTGTATGATGTATGATGTGTATGATGTATGGTGTGTATGATGTATGATGTGTATGATGTGTATGATGTATGGTGTGTATGTTGTATGATGTGTATGATGTATGGTGTGTATGTTGTATGATGTGTATGATGTATGGTGATGTATGGTGTGTATGATGTGTATGTTGTATGATGTGTATGATGTATGTTGTATGGTGTGTATGAAGTATGTTGTGTGATGTATGGTGTGTATGATGTATGGTGTGTATGTTGTATGGTGTGTATGATGTATGATGTGTATGATGTATGGTGTGTATGATGTATGATGTGTATGATGTGTATGATGTATGATGTGTATGATGTATGGTGTGTATGTTGTATGATGTGTATGTTGTATGATGTGTATGATGTATGGTGTGTATGATGTATGGTGTGTATGATGTATGATTTGTATGTTGTATGATGTGTATGATGTATGGTGTGTAAGCAGGTGGGTTTATATGTTGTATGGTGTGTATGATGTATGATGTGTATGATGTATGATGTGTATGATGTATGGTGTGTATGATGTATGGTGTGTATGATGTATGATGTGTATGTTGTATGGTGTATATGTTGTATGGTGTGTATGTGGTATGGTGTGTATGTTGTATGGTGTATATGTTGTATGGTGTGTATGATGTATGATGTGTATGATGTATGTTGTGTATGTTGGGAACAATGACATTTTTCTGGATCTAGAATCATTCTTATAGTTAGTCAATATGAATTCAAAATTCAAACTCTATCACTAAGCGCTTCATTGAATTTGTCGTCTGCTGTTAATAAAGTCAACTGAAAAAAGTCAAAAACTGAAGTCAATTCACTTTTTTATTTTCTACAGTGACCGGCATTGGAGGGACATGTACAGCCACCCTGAACAACTTCGTCCCTTATGAAGAAAAAACTAAAGCGACTCTTACCTGTACCATTGACCAGTGTCAAAACTATACCGGTGCTTATCCACACCCAGTGACGTGGTTCAAGTCCAACTCGGATGTAACCGCTGGTGTGACGTCAACAGAGCTCCCCAACAACGGCAGTCGGAGCACCCTGGTGATGACCTTACAAAGGTCAGACAACACCAAGGTGATAAAATGCAGCTCACCTGCCGCCGAGTCGGTTTCAAAAACATTAAATGTGACGTGTAAGTATTACTTATCTCGTTATTTTGGATATACAGTAACGTGCCAAAAGTTTTTCACGTTTCGTTTTTTTTCCCTTTTGATACTATGTCAATTAAGCTATTTCAAAAAAGAGTTTTCCTAACTTTGATTTTTAAAATCCTTTCTTTTTTGTGGATCGCATTGGAAATTGTTTTTGAGGCATAACTATAGCTTTGATAAATCATTTATGAAAAGGAAAACTTACCTTCCGGGACTTTGGTGAGAAATAAAACAAAATACATTCGAAACACCTCGCCCCGATTACAGTTCCTTTCATCGTTAGATGAACGAATCGGCCGAGGTGTTCCGAATGTGTAATCGGGGCGAGTGGTTCCGAATGGGTCAACGGAAGCGTTGTGGTCTAACTGTACTACGTTACACTTAAACGGAAGTTAAAGGGAGTTTACTGTATATAGGAAAAAAACCACAGTGAAGCGGAACAGAAATCCTTTAAAAATCATTTTCCTATACATAGGGACTCAGGAGTTGGGCTCTCCAGCCTACACTTGTATGAAACGTTGGTCAAGTCTACAATTTAGACTGCCTTACAGAAATTTCACAAACACAATATCAAAATAAGTGTCCAATTCATGGGCCACATAGTATATGAAGAACTTGGCAGGGGAAGTCACGTGCACTCTAAGTTAAAAAAAACCCACTCATTTTAATTTCGGTTGCATCAACTTCTATAAAGAAGGGAGAATACTCCAAATAAAAAAACCGGAGAATATAACTCTTCTTCGCGATCTCTACTTTAGTGATGTCCTTTACCTTAGCATAACAATGGGAAACTAACTTTACGTGAAAGACGTATATGGCGTGTTGCTGTATTATTCAGTAACTTTAGATTTGGATCTATCAAATGTCATTTGGACTAAGACAATCTTTTTTCTTTTATAAGTTTTTTTACGATTGCCGATATTAACAGGTGTCGGTGAAGTTAGGTTTAATTGCTAATTTGCAGATAAGCCTGTGGTCACAATAACACCAACACCGAACCCCTTACTTGTGACAGAGAATAAAAACGTGACGTTAACCTGTGGTATCGACAGTAACCCAACGCCGATGTCAACCCAGTGGAGATTTGGGACAGCTGTTATTTCAACCAAACCCATCTTGCAGCTTACAGCCAGCAGACTTGGTTCTGGTGTTTATCAGTGTAGCGTCGCAAACGCTGTTGGAACTGCACAGGCTGTAATCGAGCTCCAAGTGGAATGTAAGTGTCATCTTTTCTAAATGACGTCATGCATTCAGAAATTCTGTCCCCAGGATCATCAAACGATGATTGTTTCATGATCCCGGAGCCTTGACTGATCCACCAGAAAGCAAATCATCATCATCATCATCATCATCATCATCATCATCATCATCATCATCATCATCATCATCATCATCATCATCATCATCATCATCATCATCATCATCATTATCTTCATCATCATCATCTTCATCATCATCATCCTTGCATCAAAATGTATCTTCATCATTAACGTGTTTATGACAATCTACACGTTAAGGACAAAGTTATGGTTGAGGACAATGTGCGGGTTGAGGACAATGTGCGGGTTGAGGACAATGTACGTGTTTATGACAATGTACGTGTTTATGACAATGTACGTATTTATGACAATGTACGTGTTTATGCAAATGTATATGTTTATGACAATGTACGTGTTTACGGCAATGTACATGTTAGGACAATGTACAGGTTTACGAAAATGTTCGACTTTTGGACAATCTACGTGTTTAATGTACGTGTTTAGAACAATATCCCAGTTCAAGAAAATGCACGGGGTATAGGATAATGTACATTTTTAGGACAATGTTCTTGTTTAGGACAATATACGGATCAGGAACAATGTACGTGGTTAGGAAAATGTATGTGGTTAGGACAATGTACGTGTTCGTGTACGTGTTCTATTTAGGACAATGTACGGGTTTTGGACAATGGAAGGGTTTATTACAATGTAAAGGTTTAGGACAATGGACGGCTTCTACAGCAATGTACGTGTTGCAAAAAATGAACTTATTCAACTCAATATATCTTTTTATGATAAATGAGTTGAAGGATAAACTAATTTTTAATAAAGAACATTTTAGGACACTGCACAATTCTAGGAAGTGTACATTTGAGGAAATGTATGCTTTAGAAATTGTACGTTTGAAGAAGTTAACATTTTAGGTAGCTAGTACATGTAATTTTGGGAATGTACATTTTAGAATATGTTTGATTCAAGAATCGCGTAATTTCTTTAGGAAGTGAATGTTTTAGGAAGCGTATCATTTAGGAAGTGTACATTTTCCCAAGTGTATGCAAAAAGAAGTGTGCATTTGAGGAAGTTTATTCTTTAAGAAAGAAATTCCCATATACATTTTAGAACCTTGCCATTTTCGCAATAAGACACAATATTTAAACATTCTGTTTCTTTACACAGATGGACCGAGATCCGTGTCTTTGTCGCCCAGCACTTCCGTCTACGAGCGGACGGAGGGTATAGACGAGATGCCCGTGATCAGTTGTAGTGCCGACTGCAACCCTCCGTGTAAATATAAATGGGGGAGAACTACTTCCCCAGTTCTCGACTTGGGTATAACTGGACGCCAAGAGGCAGGCACACACACATGTCAAGCCTATAACAAGATAGGGACCGCTTCCGCGTCCATCAACGTCAAAGTCAGATGTAAGTACAGAACGGAATCACGTGATCAACACGTCTACAATAAACATGTATAATAACGTATATCATTGTGTTTGCAAAATACCTAAACGTCACCTTTGGCCCGTATCCATGAAACTGTTATCATGCTCAAACTCGAGTTCTGTGCTCAAGCCCAATATCTTGTTCCAGTGATTAATTATCTAAAAATTACATTTTGTCAATAGTTTTGAAAGAATTTGGGAGAAACTTTAAGCTACAGTATATGTTAAAGCTTCCCACTTGGATATCTGACTGTTTCACATGATTGTAGCAATTTAGAAGAAAGCTGGTTTGAGCACAAAATCCATTCTTGAGCATGAAAACTGCCCAAGGTTCGCATTTATGAGTTGATCCACTGCTCTTTTGGATTCTGTACTCGAACCCAATATCTTGTTCCAATAAAGAACAAAATTTGTTTTGTGAAGAATCTGGAAAAAATAGACTTTGAAATGGCTAAACTGGACTTATTGACAGGTTTACAAGATTTAAATGCATCGTAGTAAAGTTACCTTGAGCAAAGAATCACTGTCTGAGCGCGAGAACGCCTTCATGAATACGGGCGCGGGTTTCCGGGCACAGCGAACCAGAGCAGGTACAAATAACGCAGACTCAAATGATCAAGGGTGGAAAGGGGGAGTGGAATTTATTTTTTAATCTGATTTAGACAATTATCGCTGGGGGAGGGGTCTTTATTGTGGGAGGAAATCGGAGTACCCGGAGAAAACCCATGTGTCATTCACTATATGTCTATAGTTTCTAATTCTAACCGCAGGTAGATATGTTAAATGTTAAATTTTATTCAATGTATAATATTGTAGACAAGCTGTCCCAGTTTCGAAGATTTCCCACCCACTCAACGCAAAAAGAAATGAAATAAATTTTATATTAAACAAAAAATGCAACTTTGAAAATTGAGGTTAATCTGGCGCATGTACTGTTCTTATTCTAGTTCTTGAACGTTCAAACGAGCTAATCTCATGGTGTTCATCGTGTCCATCTTGTTCATCGTTCATCGTGTTCAAAATTGCTCTTCGGCAACAATTGTCGATTGTTGAAATTGCTACATGTACGCATCAGGCGAAGATGCTCTATATATGGTGATGGTGCTTTTAGCAATAATGCTATTGACACTTACAGCATCTATCGAGTTCTCTTTTGTTGCATTTTGTGTTAAATTTGTTATTTAGGTAAATTTTGTTGACACATGAAAATAAAAACAGCAGTTACCTATAAGTAAGGAAGTGTATACTGTCAAAATTGAAATTTTCGCGGCGTGACATTGTTAGCGTTTTTCGCGTTGATCAAATTGGCGCGAAAATATTCACTCGCGAATATTTATGTATGTATTATATAGCCTATATATGTATATAATATATAGACTTCAGAACCGTTGTCAACGTGAAAATTTTACATCGAGTTTCTGTTTAAAAAGCTACAAAGTGAACACTTCAACAGGCAAGGAATCCCAGTTTGACAGAACGGTACACCCGAAAGTTCATACAGTAAAACCCCGCTAACTCGAACTCGTTTGGACCAGATGAATAGTTCGAGGAATACATGGTATTCGACTAATCCGAGGTTCGTCCGACATGGTCATTTTTTTTTTTATCAGAGTAAACGACAGACTGTACGAGAAATGCAAATATCGTAAATAGTAGGTGGAAGAAGTAAAAACGAAGTGTGATATAGATGACAACATTTGATTCAAGTCATGATTCATTACATTTTGAAACGGGTTTAGAAGAACTATCAGAGTGGAGAAAAAGGCGAAAGTTCAATATTTTATATAAAATGAACAAAACATTTAACCCCCAGCAATTTATCGGCACTTTTGCCAAACGCATTTGGTAACAACAATCGGTAGAATATACGGAACCAATATGATTATAATATTCCTTCTTTCAGCCTCTCCTTAAGCTAGTCCTCTTTTCTGCCATCGAGTTTACGCCTTTTGAATTCGTTAGACAATACAATAAGAACAGTAGGTCGTCTTTAAATACTTTAAAATCTTCTATATCTAGTGGTGCAAATTCGTCTCAATTATATTATTATAATTTTAGCGAACGCAATTAATATATATATTACATACGAAACTCAGGCATCAGTGCAGCTCTTTGAAAAATGATTTGTTCCGTGTTAAGATTGTTGATAATCCATCATACGCTTGTGGACATTCCTATCAGGATGTTGGCCATTTTTACTTAGAATGTAAGCTTTTTGATACAGCACGAAATACGCTATTTCAAATCATAAGTTCGTTGAATATAATTATATACAGTTAATTTATTTATGTTTTTATTTGGGTATGAAAATCTGTCTGTAGATACCAATACAGAAGTATTCAGACACGTGCAATTTTTCATAGAACCAGCAACAGGTTTTAAGTAAAATATTATAATTGTAAAATATAGTATATTTGCCTTGTTAGAGGCTATTATGTAAATATCAATATGCACTGTATTAGAGGAAAAGGCGTTGGTAAGTTGATATAACTTGTGCCTAATCCTCTGCTCGAATTTGGGGCAATACATATGTTTAAATCAAATCAACATTTAATAAGATATGAAATAGCTTAACAATTAAAACATAAAGCCATCGGTCTTTAGAAAGGAAGTAAAGTAAAAAGCTGTATGTGTAATGTACTTGTCATTTTAACATAGACCGCCATATTGGTGTTTGATAACGAAGTTCACATAAGTTGGAATTTATTAAGACGGTTGGGATTTCGCGATGTGAAATAGGATTGTCGGGATTGAGAAGTTGTAATGTTGTATTGTCTTAAACATTTCTCCAAAAGACAATAATTTTCGGCAAAATACCGGAGCGCATTATTTCGAATAACGTCATTATTAGACCCATTTAAGGTAAGCATATGTAATCTAAATACTGATATATGATATCGCTGTATTCTTATAAGACAAAAATGCTATGATAATCATGCCGAACTCTCACGAATCTTGTGTGCATACAGATCCCCCTGACATAGTGGAGAACGGGGGAAAAGGGGCAGAGGAAGGGGAGGAATACTGGTCAAGATGCATTGCTAGAGGGATTCCGGCCAACTACACATATCATGAATGGTACCAAGTGTATGAAGATGGTGGACCGAGAGTCCAGACCGGAAACTTGACCAGTACAGGATGGATGCACGTGTCTGACCTTTCCTATATGCATAACGGAATGTATTACTGCTCCGTATCGAATGGCGTCGCGACCCCTGAAGGTCAGGCTATCACCACGGGGCCCATGGGGGCACTTAGGGTCAATGGTAGGTGTATTATAGAAAACTGTGGCTATAGCTTGGGCTGCGATATTCTTTGTTTTCCGATTTTTTTTCTCTGATTGAGAACATAACTTATGTTAAAACTTTAAGTTTTATATCAGTGTTGAAGAATTTACACATATGTTAGGGTTTTTGCCAGGTGCTTGTAGGGTCCGGTACAGGGACCCGTTCCCAATTGAAAAATGAACCTGTATTTTCCAAAATTCAGTCTTTTTTTTACCCAATTAGACTAATACGCATTTTTATACACAAGTTTCCAGTCATTATATGTGCAACATTCAAAGTATTAGAAATACTTACTATTGATGTGTTTATGTATTGCTATACATTTTACTGTAAGAAACAGCTAGAGGAAATCTATATGCAAATCACACTGAAGTTTTTTTGTTATGATGATATTTTCCCAATTCCTGCCCAGAGATTAGCTGGCAAAAACGCTGTATATACTGACCTTGTTGATAATTTACTGTAGTCTAAAAATAAAAGTTGTTCATACTATTTTACCATTATAGAGACTAAAAACGCATTCGAGCTGTGTGCGATCGGCGAAACAATTTCAAATTTGAAGCATAAACAGGTTGTAGAAACTATGTTTTCTACAGATAATTGAGATTAATAATTGACCATAATTATAATTTAGTATGTATTATGAATTATATCGTTACCATGGTTACAGGTCCCCCTCATGATCTCCAGTCTCTCTACACAAAGACGGGAATCTTAGGTTCAACTGTTATGTTCCTCGCAGACTTCTTCCAGTTTTCTCAAGGTCAGATCACAGTCATGTGGTACAACGTGACCTCAGGAGAGGTCGTAACCCCAAGGCGAGGCAACATCACGTTGGAAACCATCTCTTCTTACAAAACAAAGTTCTATTCAACTGACGTCACCACATCCGGTTATCGTATCGTGGCAACCATCAGTGAGATCACTGCCTGGGATTTCGGCTACTACGTTGTACATTTGGAGAGCGTGGGACAGAAAAGGGTGGTACACCTGCGAGTCGATAGAGGTAGGTCACCTGACTTAGTACTACTTCCGGTTTATAGATACAATGGTTTTTCATGTCTGACGTCATCAGAAGGTAATTTTCCGTCTGTAAAAAATAATTAAAATAATTTTAAGTTTAAAATAATCTTTTTTTGTATTTGTTTAGTGTTTTTATTGATTGTTTTCCTTTAAACATTTCATGGAGTTTGCGCAGTAGAATCTTCTTATCATTGATTCAAGATATTTTTTGTCTAATAGAGGGAGAAACGGCAAGTGTGACATTGAATGGATGGCTCGTTTCCACTATAATATTGCTGCTAGTGTTGGCGGGGTGTGTACTGATCGTTGTGTGGGTCTACAGGCGAGGTACGTCCATCTTTACACACATTAAATCTGTTAATTATTGAGCATTTTTATTTTAAATGTTTGATTATAATTATACATCGTTCTATTTTTTTTTTTTTTTTTTTTTTAATATATAGGTGTCTTGCCGAGATGTGGAAAGGAAAAAGAAAAAGATACATCAAGGTAACGTGTTTGAGATAAACGGTATCATTGCATCAGTTTTAATTGATTTTTTTTTTTTACTTGGGTTATCATCCCTTCTTTACAGAAGATGTAGCAACCAAATGAAATTTCTTTCTGTCTAAGAGTAACTTCCCTTGTCAAGTTTTGTCTTTTTTTTCAATGTTCATCATCTTCGCTAGCCAAGTGTTCGCTTCGTATACACTCCACTTACCCTTGGCGGATATAGCCGTGTTTTCATAATTCCCTCCACTGCCACCTAGCGGTTATATACTGAGTTATGGCTCTTCTCCCAAAAACATTTTAACCAATCAGAATAACCGTTACATACACAGCTCCCATCGGCGTGTTGACAAAAGCACGTGAATGTCGAGGCGGAGTATAAATGACAGAGCAATATGTAAACTATCCAAAGGCATCTTCGCTAGCCAAGTGTTCGCTTCGTATACACTCCAAGGGTAATTTATATAAGTGGAGTGTATACGAAGCGAACACTTGGCTAGCGAAGATGATGTTCATTGGCTTTTCATAAAGTTTGCGGCCAAATAATTGCATATTAATTTTGAAGCTGTTAATGTATTATTCCTGAATGACAACCTTAGTATATTATGCGTTCGACTGTTGAAGACTAACTGTTTGTTTTCTTTTCCTTTTTATTTTGAAACTTTCAAATTATTGAACAAGTATGGTTCTGAAACGAAATGCATTATGTAGATTTTATATACAAAAAAATGAAAGGAATTACACAAATATCTCACAAAAGTGACCATTGTGATAATATAGTTTAAATGGTTGGTACACTTATTAAATCTTACCATTATTAATAATAATAATAATTCGAGGTTCTTATACACCGCTATATCACAACCTAGTTCAAAGGTCGTCACAAAACGGTTATCAATTTTTTAATTGTAATTTTGTGTTCTTGCTCGTTTACGTGTCTGGGTAATTTGCATGTTGGTATTTTCGGGATTGTAAAAAAGGGCTGATAAGATAACTCAAATCAATGTCGATATCAAAACCGTACTTTGTTCTCCGATATATAAGTCTGTTATTTTAGATCTTTTGTCTCTGTTGCAGTGGAGTCGGGGATACCGATGTCCAAAATTACAGCGGTGAGTAGATGTATTCACATTCCTGTGACGTTTACACAAGTCTTCATGTTGTGACGTTAACACAAGTCTTCATGTTGTGACGTTTTACATAAGTAAATGTGGCCAATTTAAATATTATAGTTGCTTTCCAAAAATAACTGAACTATACGTTTGTATAGATGTCTCCTTATATATATATGTGTGTGTATTTTAATATTATTAAAACACTAATGTAATTCATTGACGCAATAAATCTAAACCAAGTTACGTGGCATTGTTCATTTCCAATTTCAACGTCATTCACTGATGTTGTCGTGAATTTTAGGAGAGTTAGCTTCCTTGGACCGCTGACCGACCCGATTGCTGTTACCTCTGCTTTCTTTCTAGTTTAGAAACTTGGAGCTGAGACCATGACCGGTTTTCATGAAACCGTTATCATACTCAAGCAAGGATTCTATGCTCAAACAAACTTTCTTGACAAAATAGGATTTTAAAATTAGTTTATAACGTGAACAAGAAATTCGGCTTCAGCCCAATATCTATGCTTGAGTATGATAACGGTTTAACGAATACGGGCCCTGGGCCTGCATTCATGAAATCGTTCTCGTGCTTTAGTATGGATTTCTTGCTCAAGCCTATTTTTTTGTTCCGGTTATAAATTACTAAACATGTTATTTTGACAATGATTTGGAAAAAAAATATTAGAAGAAAATAAAGCCAAATACTGATTCTTTGCCATGCGAGTTACAAGAAAGCTGATTTGAGCACAGAACCCATACTTGAGCATGATAATGGTTTCATGAATACGGGCCCTGGTCTCAAACTACACACCAATATTCCCTATGATATTATGGTGTGTGACTTAGTCCTGTTTTGTTTATATTGTAGATTCTCCAACGATCGATGCGGTGACGTATGATCCAAGGTAGGTAACTCTTCGTGTACGCCAACATCATTAGTGTAACAATGTCATATCACGTGATCACTGACATATGACCCAATATAGGAAAGTCTCTTCGTGCATTAGTCTCGTTCAACCAGACGCTTGATCACGTGTAATTCTCTGTTCGGCGTAGCTTGCGCGGACAACAAGAGTCTGGTTGAACGAGACTACAGTATCTTTGATACAATATGTCGACATATCACTTTATCCTTGATCTAAGATCAAGGGTAGGTATCTCTCCACGTATGCCAACAACATTTGTGAAACATGTTATTGTAGCACGTGCTCATTGACGTATGAGCAGGTTACGCTCCTCGTTCACTGACTGACCTTCAAGGTCACGAATGTCGAGTGCGTAAAACATAGGAACGACCATCTTTTAAGGACCCATGGTGTCTAGATAGTTGATCTTCGGTCAGTAGCTTTTTATAAGGAAGAGTTATGTCTTTTTTTCTAACGTTAGTATTAATGCCGGACACTTTGCCATAGTAAATAAGCAAGCAACTCCGATATCTGTCGAACAAATTGGAGCTCTCCTTCGTTGAAGATACAACAGAGAGCGCATGGGCTCTCAACCTTAAACAAACAATTTGGATCATGGAATAATTATCTTTGAATATTTTGTATGCGTAAAACAACGAATTTCGTGTTGCAGTTGTGGAAGTTCACAAATAAATTACATGCATGATGCAATAAGCTTGTTCAATATCGATATTTACATCCTTGGTTATTAACATCGATGTCAGTTTTGATGACGTCATTTATATAAATCTTCGTTAGATTTCGTGTTTAGACTCCACTCAGTGCAGCGATCATATGTTGTTTGAAATGCTGTGACATTTTTTGTAGTGTCTACACATCTCTCCAAATACGGCAAGGGGTGGTACCAGAAAATCCCTATGGTAACGTACAAAGCGAGCCCGAACATACCTACGAGTGTTTAAAAGCCAAAGGAAATATTGGTCACAGATCACCTGAAGCTGCACCCGCAGAAGAACAGGAATTACCTTCCGCCACAGACACTAGCCTATATCAGAATGTGAATGTTACAATGGAAAATCAAAAAAAAATACGTAAACCGCCCAAGCCCCATTCCAAACCGAAACTGCAGCTACCAAAGAAATCTAAGAACAAACAAAATACTGAAGGTGAGTGTACGTTATGTACATTTACTGCGAGACTGGCTCCGCTTCTACCTTTATTTCATATGGGTGGAACTATCTTTGTGTTTGATAACGTTTTATCATAATTTTGTTGTTAAGTTTTCGCATTGAACATGATTTCCGTATGGGATGACGTCGTGTTTGTCATGACACCACTACAAGAACATTTCTAGAGATCGTAAATGTATTCTCTCACACTGTTAAGAATCTTTTGTTTTGTCTAAGAAAACCTGTTTGATCTCAACTTTACGTGAAACTTGCCGCCTTAGCGAGAAAATGAGAGGAAGGTACGAAATAAAGGAAATCTAACCAACAAGAGGAGCGGTCGGAAAACTTGAAATACTGAAATAGCAGTATGAAAAAACACTGAAAAAAACACTGAACACTGAAAACACTGAAAAATTAACAAATTTTATAGAAATATAGGGTTTTCTACAGGAAATCGGCTTTCAAATGATTTTTGTCTTCCAAAGTCTCCTTTGGACTAAATTGACATATAACGATCTAAGGTCATTCTGATTATTGCCCTTTGCAGTTCAATCATGCAAAGACAGAATTTTCCTACAGTTCTCTTGATAGAAAACCAAACCTTAATGATAACATTAAATATCTGCGATTCATTTTACACTAGCCTGTTTTCACGGCTCTTCGGTAGCTCGGAATTTATTATCCTTGAACTCTCTCTTTCTCGATATTAACATCCCTACTTCCGGACTTACGGTGTTTAAATATCGCAGTTGATTCGGTATTTAAGTGCTTGTTCCGAATATAATGATTTTCGATGATATATATCGACTGCTGACGGTTCACCTGATCTGATTCCCTTGTACTTGTTCAAGGGTCTTTATGTTAATCTTTCATTTATTCATCATTGGTGCCGCTTGTTCTCGATTTTTAGTTCGAATTCAATTTTGTTGACAGTTACATTTTTTTTTCTATTTGCCTTTTTTCATAAAAAAACATTGATAACATTAGATATGTCAAATTCAAACATTCTACCATACTTCAGATATTAAGAATTTTGATGACATTAGAATAACATATAATAAATACCGAAGTGTCAGCATAACCAAAATTGATAAATCTAGGGCAAAATATGAAAAAAGAAAATATTTATACAGAAACCCTTGAGAACAAGAAGACCATGTTTTCCGGAAGGTCAATCGTCTTCTGCTTCTTCGATGACACCAGCAATGTAAATTTAAGTCGAATCCAAGTTATGCCAAGCCTTCACATCGAGAATGAGAGGTTTTTAGGAAGGGTCCATTTGTATAGATTATCACCCGCTTTCAATTTAAGGATAACATATGATGGATTCTGTGACAGACTTGGCTAGATTATGGGCAAAAGGAGGACACACGAAGCATGGAATAGTTACTTTAAGAGTGAGTGAAATCCATCATTCAAAACAATAATTAGTTAAACAATACAAATTTTCATACTGAAAGTGTCTTATCATAGCGTCGAGCAGCTATAAGTAGTAGACTATTAAAATTTACAGACGATAATTTAGCATTTTAGTACAAAATAAGAAAATATAATAATTACTGACCTATTTCATTTTATTTCCAGGTCATTCAAACGGAGCCTTTAAAGAAACTGAAAATATGTGACATATTCAGAAGAGATGGGACAGGAACAGTAAGGATTTTAGCTGAATTTCATCGAACCGACATGACTGCCATTCTTTCTTATACCCGAAGACATGTCACTTCATGCTTTCAGTTTTCTATATCGTCCAAGAAAAATAGCATCATACAATGCTGACAGCTAAACAAGTGACGCAACATGATCGGGTCATTATTGGCTAACCGTCATTATTTTCAACAATTATGCTTAAAACAATACGCGTTAAACTAAAACAGTTCATGTCATTATGGGCATATATTTTAAATGAATGTGAAGAAGTATCTCGCAGGTAGCAGACCACATAAGCCACAGTAGCAGACCAAAGAAACTAAATTGCAGGTAGGAGAAAAAACAGTAGCAGGCCAAAGAAACCACAGTAGCAGGCCAAAGAAAACCACAGTAGCAGACCAAAGAAACCATAGTAGCAGGCCAAAGAAACCATAGTAGCAGACCAAAGAAAACCACAGTAGCAGACCAAAGAAAACCACAGTAGCAGACCAAAGAAACCATAGTAGCAGGCCAAAGACAACACAGAAGCAGACCGGAGAAACCACAGTAGCAGGCCAAATAAAACCACAGTAGCAGGCCAAAGAAACCATAGTAGCAGACCAAAGAAACCACAGTAGCAGGCCAAAGAAACCACAGTAGTAGGCCAAAGAAACCACAGTAGCAGGCCAAAGAAACCATAGTAGTAGGCCAAAGAAACCAAAGTAGCAGGCCAAAGAAACCACAGTAGGAGGCCAAAGAAACCACAGTAGTAGGCCAAAGAAATCACAGTAGTAGGCCAAAGAACCCACAATAGCAGGCCAAAGAAACCACAGTAGCAGGCCAAAGAAACCACAATAGTAGGCCAAAGAAACCACAGTAGTAGGCCAGAGAAACCACAGTAGAAGGCCAAAGAAACCACAGTAGCAGGCCAAAGAAACAACAGTAGCAGGCCAAAGAAACCATAGTAGTAGGCCAAAGAAACCAAAGTAGCAGGCCAAAGAAACCACAGTAGTAGGCAAAAGAAACCACAGTAGCAGGCCAAAGACACCACTGTAGCAGGCAAAAGAAACTACAGTAGCAGGCCAAAGACACCACAGTAGCAGGCAAAAGAAACCACAGTAGCAGGCCAAAGACACCACAGTAGCAGGCAAAAGAAACCACAGTAGCAGGCCAAAGACAACACAGTAGCAGACAAAAGAAACTACAGTAGCAGGCCAAAGAAGCCACAGTAGTAGGTCAAAGAAACCACAGTAGCAGGCCAAAGAAAGCACAGTAGCAGGCCAAAGAAACCACAGTAGCAGGCCAAAGACAACACTGTAGCAGGCAAAAGAAACTACAGTAGCAGGCCAAAGAAACCACAGTAGCAGACCAAAGAAACCACAGTAGTAGGCCAAAGAAACCACAGTAGCAGGCCAAAGAAACCACAGTAGAAGGCCAAAGGAACCACAGTAGCAGGCCAAAGAACCCACAGTAGTAGGCCAAAGAAACCACAGTAGCAGACCAAAGAAACCACAGTAGCAGACCAAAGAAACCATAATAGCAGACCAAAGAAACCACAGTAGCAGACCAAAGAAACCACAGTAGCAGGCCAAAGAAACCACAGTAGCAGGCCAAAGAAACCATAGTAGCAGGCCAAAGAAACCACAGTAGAATTCCAAAGAAACCACAGTAGTAGGCCAAAGAAACCACAGTACCAGGCCAAAAAAAACACAGTAGCAGGCCAAAGAAACCACAGTAGCATTCCAAAGAAACAACAGTAGCAGACCAAAGAAACCACAGTAACAGGCCAAAGAAACCACAGTAACAGGCCAAAGAAACCACAGTAGCTTTCCAAAGAAACCATAGTAGCAGGCCAAAGAAACCACAGTAGAATGCCAAAGAAACCACAGTAACAGGCCAAAGAAACCACAGTAACAGATCAAAGAAACCACAGAAGCAGGCCAAAGAAACCACAGTAGCAGTCCAAAGAAACAACAGTAGCAGTCCAAAGAAACCACAGTAGCAGGTCAAAGAAACCACAGCAGCATTCCAAAGAAACCATAGTAGCAGGCCAAAGAAACCACAGTAACAGGTCAAAGAAACCACAGAAGCAGGCCAAAGAAACCACAGTAGCAGGCCAAAGAAACCACATTAGCATTCCAAAGAAACCATAGTAGCAGGCCAAAGAAACCACAGTAACAGGTCAAAGAAACCACAGAAGCAGGCCAAAGAAACCACAGTAGCAGGCCAAAGAAACAACAGTAACAGACCATAGAAACGAAATTGCTGACAGGAGAAACCACAGTAGCATACAAAAAAAAAACACCACAGTTTCAGGCCAAAGAAACCACAGTAACATGCTAGAGTACCGATGTTATATGATTGAGACACTTTTAAAGCCAACTTTTAGTTTATACCGTGAATTACTTGGTATTACTGTGCCCCAATGGTGACCGACTGGTATAATTGTAAAATGACGTATGTTTGACAATACGTCATACTGATTTTTTTTGTACCGTTTAACCAGGGTTTACACAATTGTTTACAGATGGGTTTCCGCTGAGGTTTATTGTTTTTGTAGCGGGTTTTTTCTTGCCATTCTGAAGGGTAATTTTAAGAATTATTTATATCATATGTTAAAAACTATTATCGTATAATTTTGAGCAGTACTTTCGTACACATTTTATGTCGTTTTAAGTATTGTTATTGTACATTTCTTTATGTATTTTTAGCATTGTTTGTCTGTCTTGAGGTACTTCAGCATTATTACCATATCATACTCGAAGTTTTTAACGCATCATTACTTAATTTTTCTCTAGATATTTAAGCATTGTTATCATATCTTTATGTTTTTGTATTTCAATCCTAAAAACCTTGCATTTCCTGTTTTCTGCATTAAATCGACTGAAAAACATTCCATATAACCATTTCCATTATCTACCCCGTATCAACCCCAACATTCCATATCATCCCGAGGGGCCAGAGGCCTGAGGGCTTATACGTGTCGAGGGTTAATACGCGGTATAATATGGAAAATCTTCATATCATTGATATGTGTTAAAATGGAAGTAAAACGGTACTGGCGTATGTTGAGCAGATACGGTCATTATGGAATAAGTATTTGCATAGCTAGCTGTAAAGCATATGTAAACTTACCCAAAGGACAAAAAATGATATGATACTTAATTAACATTATGAGAAATGAAGTAATCTATTTTAATTTTTAGACTCATTTTGGAATCCCATGTTGGCGGATGGATGCTGGCAGGTATCACATGGTTAATTGTAGCTAAGGACGGTTCTAATTTCAAATGAAGGAAAGGAAAATGTTTAAAAAACACTTTGTTTGTTTTCCGATCTCTTTGAAGTTGTATGTATGTTATACCTTTGTTGTACTGATTATCCGGATGGGACATTCGGTCTGGTATATCCTGCAATGAAGAGTAAGCAATTTAAAATCATCAAGCAAATCAATATATGTACATTTTGTTACATATGATACATGTAATACGATTTTTGTATTATTTGGTTATCACGTTAAAGAAATAATGGTTACCCGATCGAAAGTGTTTACGGGTGACCCTTTAATGGCCGGATTCCCCCTGTATACATTTATTTAATTAATGTAATTTAAGTAAATATTATGTATTATAATCATATACAAATGTATCAAATGTCGTCGTTTAACGTAATTTTTGGGCCAGTATTGGTTGGTCGCTGGTCGCTTTAGACAGATGGTCGCTTAATACAGTTAAATTACAGTAAAACGATCGGGAGGAATGAAAAATGGTGGCATAAAACAGATGGTTGTTTAATACAGATGGTCGCTTGAACAGATTCGACTGTGTAATAATCCAAGGAAGGAAATCCATATCGAAATTTGAATCCGTTTAGGTTTACATTTAAGATTCTGTGAACATGTCTTTTTCAAAGACATCATATGGTTATGACTCACCGAAGACATCATATGCAAACGACTCACCGAAGACATTATATGGTAACTACTCACCGAAGACATCATATGGTAACGACTCACCGAAGACATCATATGGAAACGACTCACCGATGACATCATATGGTAACGACTCACCAAAGACATCATATGGTAACGACTCACCGAAGACATCATATGGAAACGACTCACCGATGACATCATATGGTAACGACTCACCAAAGACATCATATGGTAACGACTCACCGAAGACATCAGATGGTAACAACTCACCGAAGACATCATATGGTAACGCCTCACCGAAGACATCACATGGTAACACCTCACCGAAGACATCATATGGTAACGACTCACCGAAGACATCATATAGTAACGACTCGTTTTTCTCATGATATCTATTGTAATATCGATCATGTCTGTCTTATAGACATCATATGCAAACGACTCACCGAAGACATTATATGGTAACTACTCACCGAAGACATCATATTGTAACGACTCACCGAAGACATCATATGGTAACACCTCACCGAAGACACCATATGGTAACGACTCACCGAAGACATCACATGGTAACAACTCACCGAAGACATCTTATGGTAACAACTCACCGAAGACATCATATGGTAACGACTCACCGAAGACATTATATTGTAACAACTCACCAAAGACATTATATAGTAACGACTCATCGAAGACATCATATGGTAACAACTCACCGAAGTCATCATATGTTAACGACTCATCGAAGTCATCATATGGTAACGTCTCACCGAAGACATCATATGGTAACGACTCACCGAAGACATCATATAGTAACGACTCATCGAAGACATCATATGGTAACGACTCACCGATGACATCATATGGTAACGACTCACCAAAGACATCATATGGTAACGACTCACCGAAGACATCATATGGTAACGACTCACCGAAGACATCATATAGTAACAACTCACCGAAGACATCATATTGTAACAACTCACCGAAGACATCATATGGTATCGACTCACCGAAGACATCATATTGTAACAACTCATCGAAGACATCATATTGTAACAACTCACCGAAGACATCATATGGTAACGACTCACCGAAGACATCATATAGTAGCGACTCACCGAAGACATCATATAGTAACAACTCACCGAAGACATAATATTGTAACAACTCATCGAAGACATCATATTGTAACAACTCATCGAAGACATCATATTGTAACAACTCACCGAAGACATCATATGGTATCGACTCACCGAAGACATCATATAGTAACAACTCACCGAAGACATAATATTGTAACAACTCATCGAAGACATCATATTGTAACAATTCATCGAAGACATCATATTGTAACAACTCACCGAAGACATCATATTGTAACGACTCACCGAAGACATCATATGGTAACGACTCACCAAAGACATCATATGGTAACGACTCACCGAAGACATCATATTGTAACGACTCACCGAAGACATCATATAGTAACGACCCACCGAAGGCATCATATACTAACGACTCATCGAAGACATCATATGGTAACGACTCACCGAAGACATCATATAGTAACGACCCACCGAAGACATCATATACTAACGACTCATCGAAGACATCATATGGTAACGACTCACCGAAGACATCATATAGTAACGACTCACCGAAGACATCATATAGTAACGACTCATCGAAGACATCATATAGTAACGACTCACCGAAGACATCATATAGTAACGACTCATCGAAGACATCATATAGTAACGACTCACTGAAGACATCATATAGTTACAACTCATCGAAGACATCATATGGTAACGACTCATCGAAGACATCATATGGTAACGACTCACCGAAGACATCATATAGTAACGACTCGTTTTTCTCATGATATCTATTGTAATATCGATCATGTCTGTCTTATGTGTACTCTATCCGTGCCTGTCCGGTGTTTTTGTGTGTGTTACTCGTTTTTCCGATTTTCGTTTTCTGTTGCACTTATCCCCTTCTTACAAACAATGCAATGTGCCAATGATGGATGTCCTATTATGAAAATATTTGAACGAATGCGTGTGTGAATTTAGAACATGTAAATACTAAGAACATAAGTATAAAATATTTCTACAGTGTACAATGTCTTTTGTTTAGTAGAAATATATTTTACAAACATGTAATGGTCTTAAAAAAATGTGCATGATGCTGAAGAATGAATATAATTTTGCATTTGTAGCGAGCTATAATTAAGTTCGCATAATAAATGCTCTGTCTATTATAAATTGTTGTTTCCCTTATTTTTAGTTAATATGCTTACACACAAAAGTCAGCTATTCCGTCTTTGCGTATTGCAGAGTTATCTTCTCTTGGGAGCAGGTATTGATTGTTACGTCACTTGTTTGTGAGAGTAACGTCATCAATTTTTGAGAAAACGACGCAATTTTCTCACACAAACCAATGACGTAACAATCAATACCTGCTCCCAAGAGAAGATAACTCTGCAATACGCAAAGACGGAATTACACACTCTAGTGATTAAAGCTTTCGCTCGTGACGTGAAGTTAATTAAGAACGAATAGACTTTAAGCTAACAGTTATAAACTGGCAAATGGAATGAATTACTTCACTCTTTCGGGCAAATGGATTTTAAAATCTGGAATTAAACAGAAGTATATGATGTCAGCAATTATTGAGTGATAGCATTTAATGCTACTTTTACAAACGTGCATTATTTTGGTGAAATAAATCCTATTAACATCACACCTGAAAGTGCGGCGATCAGAATGAAATTCAGAGAGAACTCAATATCTTAAATACTTATTAAATATTAATAACTTAACAATTGAAACAACAAGAGAAAAACAAACATTCAGAAACGTCTTAATTTGAACCAGGACATAATATAAACAATGGAAATATGTATATGGACACTCTTGAACAGTAGGAGGAAATTAAGGCCAGGTGTTTCGGAAGGGTAAGCATCTACTGTTTCTGTGACGAAAGCGCCATGTAAATCTACGTCAAATCCCCGTAATGGCACGTTCTCAACTGCAACTAATGAACTTGATCTAACGTTGGTGACCATAATGCTTGCACATCGTTTAGTTCAGGTACATTTGTATATTGTATCATTCTAGCTCAAAAGTGATTCGAAGGCAAACGGACAAAACGTTACGAACGTTCTTGCTACAAATCGCACCTCTGATTAAGCGATTGAGTATATTTTGAAGTGATTTCAACTTATTTGTATGAAACTCGATATATTCCTCGTCTCATTAACAAGTTTTTTCTTGGCGTCAACATTTCATTCATGGTCGCCGCCATATTTTCTTTCGAAACTCTCCTGTTCGATACCTCTCAAGGTTTATCTATCTATTCATATGCGCTCGTAAAGATTAACGATGGCTTGCCACCAGCATACATACACACATGCACGCATACCCCACGTACATGGAGGCACGTCCCTAAATTATCTTGGCTGTTAATATGACGTTAAACAATATAAAACTTAACCAAACCACAAGATTACAAAGGTTATTGGTGAAGTCGGAGTTAATCAAACCAGGGTACAAAGGTTTTAGATGTGGTCCGTCTATGTTCTCGTCCAGAAACGCTCTGAGATTCTCTCCGCTTTGAGAAAGCTGTTTTCAGTTTATTTCAACTTTTTGTGTGGTCAAATGTAAATCGTAATAGAAAATATATACTCTAACTATTCTGTAGCCCTCAGATAACCTGTGTAATACACGTACCTAGCCTGAACAACCTGTAGTAGGTTTTCACTTTTACATTCTGTCGTAACTTCCTATCTGTTGGTCATTTCGTTATGTCTTCCATTCCTGGAATCGTGTGCTGGTAATGATCTCGTGACAGCTGATCCCGCTTTACCGATAATTAACTTTCCATTGCTCTCCATTTGCCCGGTAAAGCCGATTTGTTTACCCGGATCACGGTACTTTCAGATGATCAGGTATACTACTTGGTAAACGAAACCATGCAACAGATGATTATTCAACTATGGGGTATGCTTAACCTTCTCATTGGCAGATTCGTTTTCGTCAAAACATTATCAGGGGGAAAATTGATATTTTCAAAATGGTAGCCAGTCCAAACAAATTGTCGTGGTTTCTGAGCTTGTTCTGGTTGTTGGAATGAGAGAAAAATACTCCTTCATGCTCATGGGTGAAGGATAGGGAAATTCCACCCTCGGGTTTTACCAAATTTGAAAAACCCTCGGGAGGAATTTCCCTATCCACGCCTTGACATGAAGGAGTCCTATGATGGTGGTTTTTTTTTGTAAATGCGAGAAGCTGGTTAAAGTGGTGATGTTTTAGTGGAAAATGAACAAATATGTAGATTAGATATTAGACAGTAGACTTAAGAGGAACATTGATCCATCAAGAAACACACGGGGAAGGAGTTTGGTTGCATGCGTATTTTAAATGACCATTGTTGTAACTGTATTACTTCGACAGAGAAACACAATCGTAATACGTTATAAAACAATCTTTATGAAATTTGATGAGTGGGGAGTAAATGTTTTGTCTTATACAGTCCCATGTGTGAGCTAGGGACGTTACCAAATCATTAAATCAACTTCTCAAATAAGAAACGGTTAGGAAGCAATAGTATTAACTAACTGAGTAAAGATTCCATTTTCTCATTCGTATACAGGCAACAAAAGTAGAATAACGCAACACTACAGAAAATACCTTTTATTTAATATAAAAAGGAGACAAAAATAAACGTTTATTGAAACGTGAAAAAATAGTTGGATATGTAAATATATTTGTAAACAAATGATTTCTCTGTAAACTACTTTACAATACACATTGGGAATGTTTTATGTTTCTAAACGAGCCTCACTTTGACATGTCAAAGTCACACTCCCTACTCTCAGTTCTCTTTCCCACTCGGTCTCCCCTTCCTCTCCCCTCCTCCTCCAGCTCTAAGATCACTTAAATGAAATTGACAAATTGTACATATTATGCAATATTATGAAGTATGAAGTAAAAACACTACTTTTATATTTTATATTTTATATTATTATATTTAAAAAAATATATACTTGAAGGATCCCTTTCCCGCTGCAGGCAAAACACGAGATAATGTTCATACGTATAGTAACCTCCCTTGAATTTCGTTTTACATTTAGTTATAGCTTGACGGGTTCAGGATGATATCGGTAGGTTTAAGTGACAGTATAATATAATAAACGGAGGTCCAGTGTTCCGACTCCCTTTCATTTTCGCACTCAGAATACATGGACTACCGGCAGTAATATCTATTGAGTGTTGTATTTTCTTCACAAATGCCCTAATCATTAACTCCAATGTAATCTTTTAATCATCAGCAATAAGTATTTATCAAACGGTTGATTAATATCTTCCGTCAGTTTGATTGGTTAAAATTTTGAACTTTGACCTTAAATCCTCAATATGAGGACGTGCATCCGCCATTTTGTAGTATAAAGAATGTCAAAACGTATAACCTTTCAGATTTACATCATAACTGATAAAAGAAGACCAATGGCACAAAAAGAATTACAGGATAAACTATGACTTTTGCATACTAGTATCGCTTAGCGTAATGTAATAGTTTTATAAGTAACTCTGCTTTTTTGCCATCATAAATATATATTTTGCATAGATAAGTAATATCAAGATCGTTCCGTTTCTATTTGAAGTTTAGAAAACTACCTAAATCCCTTTTCAGGAGAAAAAAACATAAGTATAAAGCAAATAGTATATTAGTAGTGGAACTTCATTTATACTGTAATTAAGGAAGACGTCTTCTGTTAAACAGCATATGAAGTCATTGTCATTCGTTACCTCTTTATGTATTCTATAATGCCATTTGGAACCTCTTTGAAGTTAACGTTTCACAATTTTACCAGTGGTATCTTTTTATTGACGTTTACTGTAACACACTTTATTGCTTCCTTTTGATATTTTCCATTTCACAGTATTGCCATTCGTAAACTCTTGGACGTTGTCCCTTACACAATCACTCAATATTGCTATTCGTAACCTCCTTCTGATGTTTTCCTTTACACAGTGTTGTTAATCGTAATCATTTTTTCGTGTCACACAGTTTGTGTTATTCGTAACCTACGTTTCATGTTTTCCGTTTCCCACATTTTCATTTTTCGAAGCCTCTCTTTGTTTTTTTCCCGTTTTGAAATATTGCCAATAGTTATCTCCCTTTGATGTTTTCCGTTTAATCTAGTATTTGCCATTTGCTACTTCCTTTTGTTGCTTTTCGTTTCACCCAGAATTGCCATTCATAAAATCTCTATGATGTTTTCCTTTACAGTTTTCCTTTACACAGCGATGTCAAAAGTATTTTGATGTTATCCGTTTCATAGTGTTTACTATTTGTAACCTCTCTTTTATGTTTCCCAATACACACAGTACTGCCAATCGTAACCCCTTTTTTGACGTTTTTTCTTTTACACAGTGTTGTCATTCGTAGCCTCTTTCTGAACTTATGTATTTCAAAGTATTGTCATTCGTAATCTCCTTTTGGTGTTTTCCGTTTCACAGTGTTGTCCTTCCGTCTTCATTATCACTGTAAGACAGTCACCATTTATCTTCCGACTTGAATGATTAAAACAAGTCCTATTTGTGAAACACAAATAATGTTCAATTCAAAAGGAAACATATATAAATGCTCAATATATTATGTTATTAACGGTTAAGTATAATTGTCATCGGACAATTTTTGTAACATGTTAGGTTTACAATTGTATTAATATAACACAGTTTTGTTAAAAAAAACCTCACTAATACACCACCGGATATTGGGGTTGCTGAACATTTTAAGACCCAGTGATGGTAACGAAATCAATGGATAATGTTGTTGGCCAGTAACCAATATGTCACTGTCTATTTCATGAGTAGGATTTTTAATGTTTATACAATAAGTGCACATTTGCTTCATATCACATTTGATTAGATCCAAAGCGGAATATGTATCTGATGAACTTCAATCCTCAACTATTCTTGGTCCAGATCAAGGCGCGTTTATCTGATTAATATAGTTATTTATACACTTTAGGTATGAACGCTGTTGTGAACGCCAAATAATTCCATCTCCATGGTAACCACTTGTTTTCTTCCAATGAAAACGCTCTATTTGAGTTATTGTTATTTAAAACCTTTTCAGTAACGTCACGTGTCCGATATTGCACGATGTTGTGATCTGTATTGACCATTGCTGTAATTGGTTAACTTATGTTCCCATGGTGACCATGTAACCGTTCCGCGAAGTTCCCCTACTGTCGTTACATTTTCTCCCCTCGGTAAGCCATGTTGTCTGCGCCGAGCTTGAGGTTGCCCTTGCCGTTATCATAGGCGACTGTAGGAAAGTCTCCATTGATTGACGAGAAATTTCCACTGAGAGGAGAATACGCCCCAGTGCGGTCCTCGTCTAAAGCAGGGCCCCATTGGGGCTCGATCTTCAGTGCATTACGGATCTGAAACAACAAAACAATACATATTTGACATTCTTTGGAAAACTGAATTTAACTCTTAAAGATCTGCCACAGTACATTTAAATATCAAAGCTACTGATTCAAATATCAAATACTTATCATTATAAAAATATCATTATTTAAATTTTCAATCTTTTTTTTCTCCCTATAATCACCCCGTATTAATACTTTCATACACATTAAAGATGCATTTTCATCGTTATCTTTATATTAAAAATTAAAAGCAGTAACTTTTATTCCATCTTCCTCGACGCATGTCGGAACATATTTACTTCAACCAGATCCACTGGGTTACATTCCATTCCTTTCCTGGTGGGGTTGACCGGTGTTTTACAAGAACTTTGCTATCCCTTTTTAAAGGGATCAACCGATGCTTCAAGAAAATATACCCTGCCTTCCTAATAAGCTAAGGTTCAACCGACCTTATTGGTATGTTTCTCTTTCTTTCCTAGCTGACTGACTTTCCAGAATTTTGATTGACGGGTGTCACTGGAAACTAACCCTCCCCTACGGATCAACTTGATTGGCAGGTGTTACTGGAAACGTACCCCTCCCTTATAGATAAACTTGATTGACCAGTGTTACAGGAAACGTACCCCTCCCTTACTGATAAACTTGATTGACGAGTGTTTCTGGAAACGTATCCGTCCCTTACTGATAAACGTGATTGACGAGTGATACTGAAAAATTACCCGCCCCCTCCTGATAAACTTGATTGACCAGTAACTGAAAACTGAGCCCTCTTTTCCTATTAAACTTCATTGACCGGTGCCACTGAAAACTACCCCTCCTTTCCTGATAAACGTGATTGACCGGTGTTAATGGAAACTTACCCCTCCTTTCCTTATAGACTGTACAACAAAACCTATGAGGATAAGCAGCACAGGAGACAGCGCCATGAGCCAGCCAAGCGCCTCGGCGAATGTTGGGAATGTGTAATCACCCATGTAAGCGGGAGAATAGTTAATGGCCATCATGAGAACGATAAACTGAAACAAACAATTGTATAAAATATTGAATACCTACTTAATTTTTACTTTAAAATATATGTTGCGACGATCTTATTTTCGCGATTTTCACAGAATAAGTCGTTTTCGTGATATATTGTGTGATGGCCACTAAACATGGAATCTGCGAAAAACACATCATGCGAAATCGACCATTTTAGCAAACCCGCAAAAATTACGGACCGCGAACAAAATTATTTTACCATAAACTAGTATTCCACTTATTCATTAATACAAGTTACGCATATAGGAGGCTAGTACCCTAATAGCAATAGGCGTTATACAACACCACGCGATATATATAAGTGATCGCGATGGGCATGAATTCAACACCAGGTGACAAACATGTATACGTATAGGAGTAAGCGATGGTTGTGGCACATAATCACGTGATATGCGTTAGAGGTACTTACACCAATAGCGAGTGGCGTTATAAAACACCACGTTGCATAGAAATATGCCCAAAGGATAGGACTTGTCTTCCCGAGCATCATCTCCATGTCTCTGCGGAATCGGTTGACACCTGGAAAGAAACTGTCGGTAATAAGTTCACGTGTTGCTGAACTGGACGCGTAATTCAAAAATGTTTGGGTCGTTACAATTAACAGATTTACATAAATGCGGAACTGACTGCAAAAAAACATTATGGAATTATACCTTATCATCACCTCCTATTGTTGGTTATTTACACGATTTAAATTCAAGCATAAAGAAAACAATACAATATATAGCTGTCTAGAGCCAGTATACTTAGCTTACTATAAATTCTTGAACTGTTAAAACAAATCTAATGATCGTATTTATGATCTAAAACTTCGATATCGGGATTTTCTGCATATTTTTGTTTTTGTTTTTATAATTTTTTGTTGATTTATTGGCATTTCTTACGTAAAATTTAACCATTAAATGAAGTTTGTGTTAGTGGCAACACTACAGCAGATACGAAATTTGTATTTCTTTTCCGTAACACAATTTGACGTGACAAATCAATTTAAGGTTACTGTATCAAGTACTTGAGAACGCTATTTTTGCAATGTAAACTGTTTTAATTTAACTGTAAATACTGTTAGTAAACATAAAACTGAAAACATTGAATGAAGAACTATATAATTCGAAACAGTAGTTAGTGATATAATTAATAATTTGATATAGAAAATATTACCGTAAACATAGCATATGCATATAACTTCACATAAACTGACGATCATGAGGTTGTAACTTCCGGAGTACCAGTCGACCAGGGTGAGTAAGTATATACCGCCCTGAAAATATACAAAAATATCTCTAAACATTTTCTTCAGGTTGGTAAGTATTGTGAAAAGATTCATGTAGCACAGTCAATAAGTGTTTGTATGTGACGTTTCGATGACTAGTAAGGTATGTACTCTGTCACTTTTTTCAGACAAATGACCAGTGAAGCGTACGAAGTTGTTATAGATGTACCGAAATGACTCGATTCAGCAACGCTTTGTTTTATTATAATGTTTTATAATTGTTGTAAAATAAATAAACTTTATATTTATACTTAATAAGTCGAATCAGATTTACAGTACATAAAGTGGAGCAGAGAATACAAGGAACTTAATGCCGTCCGTTTGCTGATGCTATGGCTATATGTACCTTGGTCGTCTGTGGAATTCCCAGTAAAAACCCAATCATACATCCGACAAACGTGAAGAGCACCTTCCTGGAACGGAGTTGTTTGGGGAAGACGTCAGATATACCGCTGAGTACGGTCTCCATCATTACAAACTGTCAACATAGGTCAAACACCGTATCAATCAGCAGCGGAAAAGACCAGATAACGGGCATACTTAGCAATCAAAGGGTATAAACGTGTTCTCATTCCTCTTACACAGGAATCACAACACACTAAAGAGCCACATACTATCATATCTTAGGGTTTTTTTCGTTCGTGTTTATTTCATCTCGATTAATCCGGAACAGTTCAAAAAGTTTTCAATATCTACAATAATCTACAACAAATGTTTTCCATTATTGCAATGGCAGTTCATGTCTTATATAACTAAATCAAAAGTCATCAGTCATCTTTTTTCTTTAAAAAATGAGGAAATGCTTTTGAGTTGTCAACATAAACCCCCATATTTCTTTCTCTCTTTGTTTTACATTCCATAATATCATTTGATTTGGGGAAATTATATCATCAACGATTTTGTTAAAACTTATATTTTCTAAGTAACCGATGATTAAAAGGCATACAGGTACATGTCTTGTAATAAAATCCTGATTGTCAAACGGTTGATACCTGACAATCACGTGGTACTTGTCTGACTCTCACCTGCTACATACATGAATGTCATGTGATACATACCTGTGAGTCACATCCGAGGGTGAACAACATGAAGAAGAAGAGGAACGCCCATATCGGAGGGCTTGGTAGCTTGGCAATCCCCTCAGGGTACGCTACGAACGCCAACCCGGGACCTGTAAAGGTTAAACAACATCCTTCAACAACAATGTAAGGTAGAAGAGACCGTACACAGGTATAAACAAAACTGTAACTCGGAGTTGGTCTATCTGAAATCAAAATCAACTTATTGTGTGCAACAATATCGACAGTCTCTTCGTCCTTTTCCATGGATTACTGACCCTAAACTGAAACACAGAATGCATTTGATGTTGAAACAGAAGGGGAAGTGCAGGAGCCCGGTAAATTATATAAATAAAACCAAATGTTAAATGTACTTTAAAGCTGATCAACGTTGGTATACAAACACAATATTACCGGCGGGTTGATTTGGTTTGGGTTGTTTGTGTGTTACGTCATATTAATAACTATGGTCATTTAAGGACGTGCCAGGTTTTGGTGGTGGAAGAAAGCCGGAGTTCCCGGGGAAAAAAACACTGACCAACGGCAAGTACCTGGCGACTGCCCCACGTAGGCCTCGAATCCCGACCCAGTGCTGGAAGGCTAGTGGTAACAGAATTTCAGACGCCTAAACCACTTGGCCACCGTGCCGGGTTGAGAACGTCCCTTAGAGAGTGCATTGCCTTGCGATTATTTTCGATTTTCCTTTTGATTTTTGTCGAAGAGTTGTCTTTCGTTTCCCCATCTTTCAAATCATTCGATAACCTGATGGTCTAATATTACTTCGTTTGAATCTAGACGAGATTCTGTGTTGAATAGGCGGGTTTTTGTTTCAAGGTTTTGGAGTGGGGCGAAAAGCAGTTTCCTGAAGTTTGGATTTCTTTGTTTATTAAAAAAAATATACAAATTATTATCCGTGGTTATAGGGCCTGTGCAACAAGCCAATACCTTTCCCAACTCCCTGGGGAGCATACAGCCGGAGCTGTCATTTCTGCGCTAACAGCTAGCATTCAACAATTCTAGCACTGCCCAACCACGTACTCATTTACAGCTGAGTATACTGGCACAAGCTGAGTAAAGAATTTTGCTCAAAGATACAACACATTGCCGTGTCGTGGCGCGATCCCGCAACCCTTCGGTCACAAGCCCGGTGTCCTACCACTGGACTACCGTGCCTCAGTAACTGTGTATTGATATACTCACCGCTATCAGCCACCTGGTCTACGGGAACGTTGGTCACATGGGACATATATCCCAACAAGGAGAAAATGGCGAACCCGGCAAACACGCTGGTCCCACAGTTGATGAAAGCCACGATGAAGGCGTCCCTGTTAACACGTGTAAAACATGTGAGTGACCATCAAGATCGAACCTTGACCAATATCCTGTCAATCACTAAATTATCGTGAATACTTGCCAAAAATTTCGCGGTTTTGCTCCAAAAAGGTAAAATAAGCTTGTAAAGTTATTGATAGTTCTTGCATTTTCGCTGAATTTATTATCATGAAGTTTTTGAGTTAACGATAAACCCTTGTCGAAACTTAACTTCAAAACATTATATCTCGCACAATACAAATAATATTGATTTGAAAGACTATAGAATGTTGCCGATTTAGGAGAGGCTCAATAATATGTTGACATAGGAATTGAATCAAATACGACCAGACAAATATTTCCAATGAACAACACTTAACTTGCTTAGGAAATACTATTTGCGAAACAGGTTCGTGTATAAAGCATTCTTATTGTTGTTGTAGAAAATGTTGATATTTTGAGACAACTAATCCAACTTTAATGTTACCTCATACAATTGTTGTTAAATTTGTTGTAGCTGGCCATGGTGAGAAGACCACCCCAGGCTGGACCTAGCGAATAGAAAATCTGTGTTGCAGCGTCTCCCCAAACCTGAAAAAACAGCATAGTCATGTAGAGTCGTTTAAGTAAATTCAAGATATTTAATTGTTGCAAAACAAAGGAAATCTGACAAAAGCTATATAAGGCTCTTTAAAGTCAGATTCTTCTTAGAAATTGTTAATTAGTAGCCACCCTTTTCCCCAACTATAGTCAGAGATGCAATAGTCTTTTCAGAAGCTGACGCCACTCTATAACAGTAGTCAAACCTATTGATCTGCCTATCACTGCAGTTAACCGAATGACAGGTTCCATCTGTCAATAATTAACACCTGTCTATTTAACCTGCTATATAAATACCACCTTTCTACAACTAGCACCAAACGCCGACGGAACACCGACCTCCGTCAGTGAGACGAAACTCACATGGGTGGAGTCATGTAGGCGATAAACCCATCAACCAACCAACTAGCACCTTTCTATAACTGCAGCTAACCAGTTTTATAGCTACCATTAGTCTACAACTAAAAACTAACGATCACAAACATATTTCTATAACTGCAGCAACTTGCTTTAGAGCTACCATTAGTCTACAATTGACACCTGTCTTTAACTGCGGTTAACCTGCTATAAAGCTAGCATTTGTCAACAACTAACACCTGTCTATAACCAAAGTTGATCTGCTTTTTAACTAGAATGTGTCTACAACTAAAACGGTGCCTTTGGCATGGTATGTCAGTGAGATAGCACTATAAAGTTGGCATCAGATCCGCGCTATCACAAGGAGGCAACTACACCAACATATCCTGTCTCCGGCACACATACACACATCGAGGTACGTCCTTAAATTACCTAAGCTGTTTATAGAACGTTAAACAAAATAAATCTAAACCAAAAGTAACGAGTGTTGCTGTATCCGCTTGTGTAGCTTTTAGTGATACGATACACTTCCGGTTGAACATGTCGATATTTTGATCACAGTGTTGATCCGAACATTTTTGTTGTTGTCTAAAATTAAAATGACGCTTTCTGGGAGGTGCTGTCTACTGTACCTTTGGGTTCTTTAGAAGCTCCCATTTCGGAATGATGTAGAACTCAATCCCCTTTTCGTATCCGGGCAGCGTTACACCTCGGATCAGCAGGATGACGAGGATGACGTAGGGGAATGTAGCCGTGAAGTACACAACCTACAGAAAAGGAAATGGCGCTCAGCTTTATCACGTGATACACACAATACGTTCACACGTGGAACATTTACTCATCTCATTTTTACCGCATTCACTTTTGACACGGGGACAAACATTATTGGACGTGACACGTAATATACAGAGACAATACATTTGCATCATTCGCACGAGTTATACACTTTTAACTAATACAGATGTACTTCATTTACTTTTGATACGTACTTCACATATTTTTCATTTGTACATTTTGTACTCTCACACAATTGTGACGTTATACACACACTTTTAAGACCCAATACACGAACTACTTCACACAATGACAATTATAACAGACACTTAATAACTACACTACTGACATGGGACAACTATTATTTCAATTTTTGACCAGTGTAAAATAAGGTTTTCTAGTGTTTCAGTTCAGAAAAAAGAGTTACTGTTATTGCACATCCATCCGACCAATAGGAGAACAGGAAGAGCTCGTTCTGCGCATTCGTGAAAAATCATTCAAGTATTCTTAATTTGGAAAGGGCTACAACAAGTTGTGACCATTTACAGTAAACATAATACCGAACTTAAACAAAAGGTATTTCTATTAAGAACTGGAGACAACAGTAGCTTGACATATTATTTCTTCTGCTTGATAAACTATGTATTTGGCATTTATGTCTCGAAACATACCTTGCCCGAAGACTTGACTCCGCCCATGAGACAGAAGAAGATGAAGACCCAACAGATGAGGAGACAGAGGACGTTCTTCAGGCTAACTCCACCAATCATCTCCAGACCGTCGGCCTCCTGTGTCCTCAACACGTACCGGCTGTAATATAAAATACCATTTTATATTATCAATCAAAAGAAACCTTTTTTCTTCGATTTCGTAGCGCAATTAGAATCCATTACAAAATATCGTTGAAATATATCAAACTTAAAAAAAAATGAAAAAAATGAAAAAAAATAAAAAACATATGATAACATAAATGAAAGGTATAGTTATAAAAGTAAATTTACGTGAATTTCTTGCGTCTTGTAATAGTGTGTATGAAGGCCCGTGATAAGACGATGCATAACCATACATATGACTTGTAACCCTTTAAAATATTTCAAACGGAAATAAAATATTTAATTTGGTGAACATGATGGCAAAAAATACCAGAAAAACGAAATTCAAACATTGAAAGTATTGTGCAAATTTAGCTGACAAGAACGACGAAGCCAGCTGTTTACTTTTTAAAACCTTTAAGAGTAAAAATCTTTATCAAAAGCAGAGAATAAATTGAAAGTGACAGTCAATATTGACACTGGAACCACAGGAAAAGCAGCATTTACCTTCAGATCCCACGGCCCCCACCCAAAACAAAAACCAGTTATCAATCCTATGTCGTTACTTTTACCCATGAGTTCGACCATATAGCTAGATTAATATGACGGGTGACGTCAATGAAGCAGGCGACGCTTATCTTTCCGGAACAGCTTCTTCTTGTAATATGTCAAGGGTCTGTGTGTATTGTTTTCTTTTGTACCAATAGCGGTAGTTATCTTGTAAAACCCCATGTCTTCTATTTTTGTTGTTTCCTCAAAGATTAAGTATGTCAAGCAGCACATGCGCACACCGTCATATGTACTGTTACAATTGTATCGAAATACCACCGATATTTGAATACATATATCACTTACTTCCAGAACTCGGCGCTTGGCGTCGTGAATTTGATATCACAACTGTCGGTATGATCAGTCAGGAGTGTAGAATTCAGGTCTCCGATGGCATTGTAGGTCTGGTTGACGATGGCGCTGATGTTTGCAAGCAAACCCGACAGACATGTCTGGTCCTTGAGTCCTATGTAGAAACACGTGGCATGACATTAACATGAAGTAAGTAATGAAATGGGGCGTACATTTCGATGAATGATTTTCAATGTGCAGAATACCTAATATATGCTATCAGGTGAATAAATGCAAAGCTTATACGTGTAAAATTACTGTCGAATGTTACGTAAAATGCATCTAGAAAGGTTATATCTTGAACGGGAATTAATTAAAGATGGGGTTTCATATAATATTTAATTATGTCTATTGATATGTTAATTATATACTCTGGATGTTAAATTGTACACATAATACGTTGGTATAGTGTTATAAACAGAATGTAGCGGAACTGGACGGGGCCAATTGCCGGCAACCAGGTAGCTCAATAGAAGAGCTTGGAGGGTATTCGAGTCCCAGTATTTCTTTTTCTCCTATTACAATAGTAAGCGTGCACAAGGGAGTATTAGATCAGCCTTCGCACATTGGTTTGTATAATAATATTGAAATTCACAGAAAGTCACGTGGCACATATAATACATAAGTATTATGTAATGCAGAGTTCACGTGAAGCTACTGGATGTACAAAATACAATACCACGTTTGTTGTATGGGTTTTACGACATATAGCCTTATGACGGCAATGTTCACCGATAACAGCGCCACGTAATGGGGAATTCTTTCGATTTCTACTTAAAATGGCAAATAAGAATATCCCCGATGTGAAGGGGTACTTCATTCAACGGGTATTATCCTGAAAGCGAGGCTGTGTGCACTAATACACGAGTTCATGAGATTTGTCAAACGGGGACTGCATTGACTCAAATTACATTTGCAATTAGATAGCGCATACATACATAGACATATTATAAAACCGATACTACACTGATACACGAGTAATGTGTTGCAAAACTAACCAAGCATGGCGGTCATCTTGCTAGTTTCGTTCATGTTGTCCATCATTGGGAAGGGCTCGTCACGGCATTTCTCGGTGTTCCACGATTTTCCACATCGTTGCCATGGTAACTCGTCGTCAAGGTTCACGAAGGAGACGAACATGTAGTAGACGGAGTACATGATGATGACGTTGTAGTACGTACACACCATAGCACTAATCATGATCATGGCCCACCCGATACCTGTAAACAAAGACCACAGACTGTAACATACCCCTTGCAAGTAAACAAATTGCACGGATTGTATTTAACGCTATGGTAGTAATAGCGGTTACTAGACCTACCCATGGCATATAAAGAACGAGTTTTCAATTTTTATTTTATTTCAGTTAGGAAATCTTTTAAAGGAAATATAGCAAATATAGCAATTTAGTCATGTTTTGTTTTTATCTAATGTGACGTCAAAATTTAAGTCTGATGTCATTTTGTTACGTGCTGGCGGTCACCCGTCCAACTACTGACCACGCTCGACGTTGCTAAAGTAGTGAGCAGGTCCCCGGGTTATACCGCATCGCTGGAAAAGCTAACTTGCCAGCAAGGCAGTATTTCAACCTAAAATTCCTAAGCTGTCACACTTTTGTTGAAATCTATGTTCACTGAATAACTTTCATATGATAAAATATCCAAAATGATACATTAAGAACATATGAAACTGATGTCAATGACACCTACCCATAAAGAAGGGGCTCATAGCCCAGGCGGTGACGGGTCCTTGGGAGCAGAATTGACCCAAACCCAGCTCCATGAAAAACAGAGGCAAGCCAGCCACGAACAACATAATGGCGTACGGCACCAAGAACGCTCCTGTGGACAGAAAATCAGTCAGTGAAGAATATGATATGTTTACAAATTCAATCCTACGGTCTCAAAATAACAATGAAATAGATAAATAGTTTCAAGCTTAGTGTTTGTAAATAATGGTATTATATTTCAGTACAATGAATACTATCACGGCACTCACCTACTTTCGTTCAGAACCCACTTCCTGTTTAGAAAACGGCGAATAACCATCGTGACGTTTGTGATGTTTATTTACTTAATTTATAAAGAAATAAACTTAAATGCTTTTATAAATTGATTCAAAAATTAAAACAACTTTTTAAATGATAATGATAAAATAATGTCTGCATCAAAATGCGTTATTCGTGTATCAAACTGATGAGAATTGAAAAAGATTCTGAATTAAAAATGATACTTTTCGAGACTGTATATATAAACGCACTGTTTCCTAATTACTCACTCAGAAAAAGATAATGGCAACTTTTGATAAGTTTTGAATGGGATTTTGCATATTTGTACGTACGCTAATGTTAACTCTGAAGCTCATACAATGGTGATCGCTTTTAGATAGATTTCTTTGGCTTTGACGTAATACTGTAAATATTCATTGCATGTTCCTCACCCAAGAGTATTTGTTATTCCCACTTAGCGGAGGAAAACATTTAAGCACTAAAATGCTATAATTCCGAACACATATTTACTTTTTTTTTATTAATATTGATAATTTATGTTTTATTCCGGAGTTTACAAATGTTTAGTCACGATGATAGTGATAACGTTATGTGAGCTAACCCCCTCCATTAAGTTTTGAGCGTGATTACATTTTGTGTTATCACCCCCTCCATTGAGTTTTGAGTGTGATTACATTTTGTGTTATCACCCCCTCCATTAAGTTTTGAGTGTGATTACATTTTGTGTTATCACCCCCTCCATTAAGTTTTGAGCGTGATTACATTTTGTATTATCACCCCCTCCATTAAGTTTTGAGCGTGCTTACATTTTGTGTTATCACCCCCTCCATTGAGTTTTGAGTGCAACCATGTGTATTTATCCTCGTCGTGCAGTGGAGGGTGTTATTACGTTAAATGAATATACCCCTCCATTAAGTTTAGAGTGTGATTACATTTTGTGTAACCACTCCCTCCGCGTGCACTTGAGATGAATGCAAGCATATGTATTCAATCTTTCTGTGCAGTGGTGGATGTGATTACGTTATATCAGTCGCGAATCCTGAGGTAATTTTTGGGGCTTCAGGAAACCACCTACCCTGAGAATTGTTCTTCACATGGGACACCCCCCCCCCCCCCCCCCAGATAGGTCTCTCGATCCGCCACTGTATATGAAGCCATCTCCTCCTATCACAGGTGGGTGTTCCTATACATTCCAACCCCTTTAGTGGTGTGTGATATTACGATTTATGAGCTAACTCCCTCTGTTTGCTGGTAAGTGCGATTAATTTAGGTGTACCCACTCCTCCGTCCAAAGGTGGATGGGATAACATTCCACGTTCCGGTCCTCTGTTCAGTTCTGCTTGTCAATATATGTACTCGGTGTACTCACCCCCTCCATTCCTGTAGCAGAGATAAGGAAACCTCCACACGTTTCCTAGTCCCACGGCGTATCCGATACACGACAGTAAAAAGTCCAGCTTTCCTGTCCAGTTCCCTCGTTCCGGAGTTTCTTCCTTATCCTGTAAAAAATAAATACAAAGTAAAGACATACCTGTCGTCGGTTGTGTCACGGAGGAGATATACGATTTTCTCTCTGTCTCTCTCTCTATCTCCAAACTTATTGCGAGCAACAGCAATACAATATGTTTAAACTTAACACAGTGTACCTTTTTACTGTTAGAAATAAATGAAAGTGTGTATTTACTATCTCACTTTTGAAATTAGCGATAAAGTGGGAATTTAAAAAAAATCCTTGTAAACCTTTTTAGAGAGACAGATCAAAGATGGCTAAAGTGATCAGAATTGCTTATTTGGAGCATATCATAATGATTTTGAACTGGTTTATAATTTTTAATTGATAATATTTTTGTCGTTTGTATTAAATTTTAATAAGCAGTAAAGTTGGGGACATGCTTTTTTAAACAAAAATTCGTTACACATCATAAAGTTTTGTGTCGAAATGAAACATTCTGAGCATTTCATATTTTCATAAAAAAATGTGTTGCATTTTCTTATCAAGTTTCTGGACCATAGATGAAATTCTTTAAACATGTTTGTGTTCCCATCCAGAACTAGTACCCAGGTTACCTGTTTTCTTTTATAAGCATCTGTGACTTTTACATAAATGTCGATTTTTACTTTCCAGTGGTGATCAGATAAACAGGAAAATATGAGATTTTAAAAACATTGAATTTAGATTTTTATTTGATATATTAACGGTCTTAAAATAAATGTACCACAACATTTTAAAAGTGTGAAATTAGAAAATCGAGGCACACATTCTACACTAACCATTTCCATTAGGACTTATTATGATATCACCTTTTTTATCGGTACATAAATAATGACTCACTCCTTTTTACACGGGACGCAAAAACGCGCTATCGACAAATATTGGCAGTATAACAAGATTTTACTGTAATCTTTATCTAAGAATTGCTTGATATGTTTTCCTCAATTTATCACCAAACCCCATTATAACGTCATAATTTCTCTGGACAAAAATTGGCAGTATAACAAGGTTTTACTGTATATGATTTTATGAACTGAAACAAGATTAGGTTTACATTCACATTCAGTACATGATATAAAAATCCTATTTAACTAAACAGAACGATATATCATTATTATAAGTTCGGATAATGCTAACAATCAATGACACAAGTCAGTAGAGAATGATTACGTCGACAACTTTCCATCAGTTGTTACGGATAAAATGTTCATCTAAATATCAAAGTGACGGATCAGTAATTTCGAAAAAAGAAACATACGTTAATTTGATAAAAGAGACATATTTTGGCTGTTACTGTTGTTCCGTACTTAAGTCCATGGAAAGCTAAATTGTAAATAAACAACAGAATACCAACGTGTCAACAAAAGCATAATGCGATCTCAAAATATATTCATAAGAACAAAGGTCACTTTAAGTCCCAATATTTCCGCCTCCTGGCCTTCTTATAACATATATTAAAATATATTAAAGTAGGGCAAAGTATAAACAAAGAAAATGTTTGCATGGATGTAAAAAGTGTTACTTTCTCATTGCAGGAATATATTGTTTTATAAGACGAACTTAAATCATTCTGAGGTGTCGTTCCTTAATAGTGTAAGGAAATTATATATGAAGAAATATTATTGTGGAAAACCAAGAGTATATATTCATATTTATTAAAGAATGATAAGTCCTATTTTGCCAGAATTACAGGTACAAGGCGTTCTACGTGTTTACTGTTTTAATTAATGAGTCACTATTTACATCATACGAGATGTAGACGACACACACCTTCGTGCTGATTCATTCGTCACACATCCTGTTTCTGTTCATAATGCACTGTCACTTTATTTTGTATATGTCAGACGTAGGAAACGAAGTAATAAAGTCACAAAATCGAATTGAACTAAACTGGTGATGCTCTAAAGACCACAGAATTTCAGTTTAATAAGATATCAACAGTAAGCCTTAAAGGAATTCGATGGCATGAGTACAGTTATTTATAGTCAGTTTCATATAACTCCCATTTTTTATTTACCTGAGATGATTTATCTGATATTTCACTTGTATGACTTATGGTACTTTTCCCTGTTACCTGGTTTCTTAGCCTTAAAAGATATGCGATACATAGAAATGTTGTTTTAAGCATTGTTAAGATGAGGTATATATATATATGTTACTATATTGAGTTATCCTGTTCTTTCAAAGGATGTAAGAATGCATGTGTGTGTTTTGTTTGATTGATTGTCAAATAACAGTGTCTGTTGTAAGCTATTTCATTTATGAAAAGTTAGAAATTATAATTATCATAAATCGAAATATTAAATACACTTAGCAAGATATAACAAAAGCTAAAATGTTTTATATTAACAATACCATCATATACAGTGAAGATTGTAAAAGAAAGCCGTCAAAATCAACACTTCCAATTGAGATTATAGTCACAATTAATAATAATATCTACGTTATATTTATAAACCAAACAATACAAATGCAAAAATCGGTCAAAATCGCAATTAATGTATTTACTGATACAATTGACAGACAAATTACACTCTTAAAGGGGGGGGGGGGGGGGGGGGGGGGGGTGTGTCACTATTAGACATTAGATGGCACAGGTAAGGCAAACGGTAAACCTACGACGAATCGTTTTAACATTGCCTCCCCATGTTTATAGATCTACTACTGTTATAGAAAGTGGGGTTATAGACGTGAGGTCGTGTCACAGTGATTCCCCAGTGTCTATGTACAGTACAAAATGACAAGGTGTCACAGTGATTCCCCAGTGTCTTTGTACAGTACAAAATGACAAGGTGAGTTTTTTCGGCAATGTTACTTTATCATAGCTATGACTGTAATATAGTTATCCCTTTTTCACAGTGCAGCATCTTTTTCTTAGTTCCCCAAATTTACATTTAATATTTATGCTTACTTAAATCTGCTCAATAACATCAATATGCATGTCATAATGGTAAATTTCTCAGCATAAACATTGTTTTATTTTTTAATGAGGAAAAAATTATTTAAATGATTAACTTTTCATTTTAACCAGGGAAAAGGAAAGAAAATCATCACCGACATGTTTGAAGAATATTTCACTGTTGAACTTAAGGAATGTCTATTTCAAGTTACAGAGTTTGAAATAGTTTCCAATCCATATAATATTTTCTCTTTAAGCTAACGAATCAATTTAAAACAATTGTATCTGTTTATAATGTATTCATTTGTATTCAAGTTAGAAATATGTGGTAATAAAATACTCTCTATCTGTTCTACACTATTCAAAATGTCCTCTAATTATTGGAAAATATCAACTTAATGTGTAAATATGAATGAAATTTCACCTTCTCATATAATATTCAAACCTTACAAACTGTTTCAGGGAAATGGCAGAACACAATTGAAAACATTGTTTATTTCACGGTATCTTTATATTCTTTCAATACATCGACAAACAACTAAAATGTCTTAATATACCGCATGCGTAGTCATTAAAAACAACATCACAAAGTTTATTCCCTGAGTGACTGATCGATTTTTATGTTTAGATTTATCAAATGTACTATTGATCAAAATGTGACAATATCTTACATTGTTTTGAAATCACATGCTTACTTTTATAGTAAGGGTATTCAACATTCCCACCTACTGCGACTAGGCCATGCACAAGCGTATTTGAAAAACAAAATATTTCATATCGGGACACAGGTAAAAGGAAGGAAAAAAAGTTTTAAATTGATTCTTTTCACAACTGGTTTGTGTGTGGAATTTCAAGCGGGCCTGTAGGCTTTGCAAAGAAAATTTTAAATGCGTTTAAGATTACATGATCTGGTTATTCAGAACTGGTTTGACAGACATAGATATTCATCTAGATAACTTGTGTGTTCTATTTCAGGACAAACATGAAGTCATTGCTCTATATCATTAAGGAGCCCTGGTGTGAGTATGGGTGGTTGTGAGTAAGGGCGATTGTGTATGGATGGCGAATGTAGAGTAGAAAGATGATGTGTTGATGTAATAATACACAAGTGTTAATGTTGTGATGCAACTGAAAAGATACATGTACTTATAATATATGAAATCAATTCACCATACATGAATGAATGGATGATGATGATGATGTTGATGATGTTGATGATAATGATGATTATAATGATGATGATGATGATGATGATGATGATGATGCTGATGATGATGATGATGATGATGAAGATGATGATGATGATGATGATGGTGGTAATAACATCACAATGCATGTGAGATGATGATGATGATGATGATAAGGATGATGGAGGTAATGACATCACCATGCATGTGAGATGATGATGATGATGAGGAGGAGGAGGAGGATGATGGAGGTAATGACATCACAATGTATGTGAGATGTGGACGTTTTTGTTGTTGTTGTTTTATGTATAAATAAAACTTGTGGGGAAAAAAATAAAAAAAATACCATGTTTCCAATGCGGAGTCACAGTTTTTGTCAGTGGTACTTGGATCCTTAAATCAAAAGTGAAAACATCAAGTACATGTTGATACGTAGTGTTTTCAACTTTATAATTCCATCAGTAGTCAGTTATTGAATTCCCTATACAGCTTAATTGATCTTAAAACAATCTTGTTTTACAATAAAACTGATGTACGAACAAAGAGAAACAATTCTGTGTATTCTGACTATGCATACAGTGGTGACCGGACGTGGTGCCTACGTGGTATATTTTGGTGTTCTGTGGTGGACTGGGATTATTGGGCTGAGGGGCAGCCTATTGCTTGGACACACTCTAAGGTGGATATCTGCCCACCTGTGTAGAATAAGATGGATAGCTGCCCTTTGATATGATGTTCTCTGTATAAATACATGTAATTAACTGTGTGAATGTTAGAGTGGATGTAATATACTTCTGTTCTTAATATATGTTGTAATAAAATATTGTAAATAATGTAAATACAGTGTGTTGTGTTTCTGTTCTTTCATAAGAGTTTACAATATGCTCATCCCGTTACAATTTATTTGAAAACTTTTCAAAA